CTGGTGGCCAGGAGCAGACTTGCAGAATGTGCCCTTTGGAGATGTAAATTATTATATATGCCTGAATGGGTTTTTTTGTTTGTGTGTTTTTTTAAAAAGCGGATAGAGAGAAATACTTTTAACTCATGGTATATGGATTATAATCAACGTAATGAAACAAGTTATATGAATTGTTGAAATTGATGATGTGCCCTGTAAACTTTTACTCAATCCACAATAAAAACCTTAAAGAAAAAAAAAAGGAACCTGGGGAAAAAAAACCAAAAACACATAACAAAATAGCAACAACATATACCTTAAGTGAATCAGCTAGCTCCGACAGCTGACTAATTTTCAATTTAATTGCATCATATTTGTTTTCTGCTTCTATTTTCACACTTTTAAGAGTCTCCATCTTTTCTTTTTGTTGCTCCATATTTTTCTCAACAAACTTCATTTTGCTTTTATTTTCTTGAGCTTCATCTTCCTAGTAACATACAGAACAATTAGAATTCATTAAAACTTAAGAAATAAAATATAAAAACAACAAAAAACTTTGAAAGAGAAGAAACTACAGGTTATAGGTAAATGAACTCAAAAATCAATTTATGCCTAAATTAGAAACTAAGGTAGAAATGAGGCTGAGAAGGAAAGTCAAAAAGCATTTTATAAATATATAATTTCTAATGAGTAACCCCAGCAACTTCTTGAATATGTAAAAAAAAGTTAACATTAGTCTGGAGTACTGGTGTGATACTGTCAGATAAGCACTGGACACCGAACCACAGGTTGGTGGTTCAAACCTACCAGCCACTCTCTGAAAAACCTATACAGGGTTACTATGAGTTGGAACCAACCCAATAGCACATAGCAAGAACCATCTAGAAATAACACTGAAATGTGAAGCACCAAAATACAAAGAACACTTGAGTTTTTCATACCCTAAATGAAAAATTAAGTCCTGATGTGATGCTGTAGGTAAAGCTCTGGATTGCTAACCACAAGATTGGCAATTCACATCCACCAGCCTTTCTATGGAAATCCTAACTAAGATTACCATGAATTATAATCGAGCCAATGGCACTTAACAACAACAATGAAAAATGAGGAGGTATAAGAAAATAAATGCAAAAATAAGAAGAAATAATATTTAGGAGAAATTTTTTTTTTAAATCTGCTTATTGAGGTCACAGTCAAAAGGAATAACTTTTATTCTATCCACTCTTTCTTTCAAAATATATCCAATGTAGAGTCCTGGTGTGGTGCTGTGGGTTAATGTGCTGGATTGCAAAGTCAATTCGAACCACAAGATTGTCAGTTCAACCTCACCAGTCACTCCTTGGAAACCCTATATAGGGCCGCTATAGGCTGGAACCAACTCGACAGCACTGTGGCGCTGTGGGCTAATGCATCAGACTGCAAAGTCATTTGAACTGAAAGGTCGGTGGTTCAAGCTCACCAGCAGCTCCTTGGAAACCCTATACAGGGTCGCTATAGGCTGGAACCAACTCGACAGCACTTAACAACAAAATATATAGTGGGAGTCCTGGTATGGCGCTGTGGGTTAATGCACCAGACTTCAAAGCTGTTTGAATGGCAAGGTTGACAGTTCAAGCTCACCAGCTGCTCCTCGGAAACCCTATAAAGGGTTGCTATGGGTCGGAACTGACTTGATGGCACATCACAACAACATAGTCCCAGTACTTAATACAGTGAGTGCCTCACAGAGAGAAAACACTCAATAATATTCTACAAAATCTACCTAAATCACTGAAAAAAAAAGGCTATGCAATCTACCTAACTCAGAGAAGTTACTCTAAATATCAACAGATGCCTGAAACAAACAAAACAAAATTTAAAAAAGTAGAGAACAACTAGTAGGTACTGAATTAAAATGAAAATCATTTACGAAAAAAGGAAAACACTAGAAAGATGGTATTGACATCTTTTATCCATTAATATTGATTAACTCTGAAAGCACCCAATGGGAAAAACACTATGCTACACAATGTGGTTTGATGGGTCACTGTTCAGAGCACAACTAACATATTTGGTAGAAAACGCAATTATCATGAATGGAAGCTATATAAACAAAACATCAAGGAACGTGAAAAGTGTAGTCCAAGTAGTTTCTATTTAGTTTATGAAAGGAAACAGAAATTCCAAAGATTATCCTCAATTAAATGGATTATTTTAAAAGCTGAGACTAAATGTTGCTAACCTAAATTATTTAGACTTTGACAATACATTTAAATTAAAAGCATCTTACCAAAGTTGCAATATCTATAGACTGGTGTTCTTCTATATTCTCAAGTTCTCGAATTTCTGAAAGACATTTTCTTATTTTCATCTGAAAAAAAGAAAAGATTTTTAGCAACATAAAAATAAATGAAAGATAAAAGTAAAACCTTAAAAAGGTATATAATACACAAGAATTTTGTAATCCACAAAAGGGGTATGTTACTATTATTAAAAAGGAAGTTATACATAAATTCTGTCATAGATAACTTATTGCTAATCCATCCTCATGCAAAAAAAGATGTTAGTAATTCATTTTAGAATTTCAGATGTGGACAATATTGGGTAAAGAAAATATTATTTCCTATCCAAGGAGTCCTAGTGTGGCACTGTGGGTTAATAATGTGCTGGACTGCAAGGTTGGTTTGAACCACAAGGTCGGCGGTTAAAGCTCACCAGCCACTCCTGGGGAACTCTACAGGTTCACTATGAGTTGGAATCGACTCAAAAGCATTTACCAACAACCACCATCATAAACATATTAAGACATTCATCCTTTCTGTTCTCATTTTCTCACACGTATATAAGACTTTTATGACTACTTATTATATGTAATATTGCTACAGGATGAATGCAGAAACTGAAATGAGAATTCAGTTGCAGTTAATTAAGCCAGAGAAGACCTGGTGTGGCACTGTGGGTTAATAAGCTGTACTGCAAACCTTCCATTTGAACCAAAAAGTCAGCCATTCAAACTCACCAACTGTTCCTCAAAACCCTATACAAAACTGACTTGACAGCACTTAACGACAACAATAATTTTATATAAACTAATACATTTTTTAAATTCTATTTTAATTTTTAGTAACATACTGATAAAATATAACCTACACAAATAAAAACACTTTTTTATGAGTGTTTTAAAGGGCTTGGAGCAAAAAGTTTGGTAACTATTGCTTTAATCAAATAAATGTCAAAATCTTTTTAAAAGTTTGGAAGTGGTAAGTTGAAAAAATGAAACGTTTATTTATATTTTACCTCTAACTCTTTATAATGTAGTTTGCACCTTTCAAAAAGTTCTTTATTGCGTCCAATATCCTTTTGAAGAACAGACAAATGCTGCTGAAGATTTAGTATCTGGGCTTTCTTATTTTCAACATCATTTTCCAAGTGGCTTGATGAAGAGAAAAAGGTAAAAAATGCATTACATCTACTTCTAAATATCACAAATATTTATGACCTTAAAATAAAATATTAATCGAGCTGCGAACCTTAAGGTCAGCAGTTCAAAACTACCAGCTGCTTCGTGGGAGAAAGATGAGGCTTTCTACTCCCGTCAAGATTTACAGCCTTGGAAACCTTGTACAGGGTCGCTATGGGTTGGTCAGAAACAACTCGACGGCACTTAACAACAACAACAAAATAAAATAAAACAAGGTTTACTTGTAATTAATTTATTTATGTCAAACCAATTCAGTGAAACCAGTTCTATAATCCAAGGTGTTGATAATATAAATAATGTATTACAAAGATTTCCAAAGTGATCTTCTAATGTGATTTAACTTTATTTAACAAGTATTTAAGACACGGTCTTTGTGTGCCAGACATTGTGCACGTAGATACAGAAATAGAATTGAGATATGATTCACAAAAAGGAGTGAAAAAACCCAGAAAATAAATCAGAAAAGTAAAATGTGAAAAGGACATTTTATAGTATGCTAATGAAGTCCTGGTGTGGCACTGAGGGTTAATAAGCTGGACCAGCCATTCTTTAGGGTCACTATGAGTTGGAATGGACTCAACAGCACTTAACAACAAAATATATACATAATACTATACATAATATAAAAAAATGAACTGGTATTTTAAAGTTTTTATCTGGATAAACTAAGATGGAAAGAAACACACAAAGGCAAAGAAGGTAAAAACAAAATAATTAAAATCACATCAGCTCAACATTTATTGTTGATGGAATGCTAAGAATTTGTGGGGAGTAAGAGAGAGAACAATGAAAAGAGATGAGGTTAAAGATAAAACAAGGGGCCTTCCATGCCAGCAAAATTAACAGTGACTTTTTCCTGATTCACTAATTCAAGTACTCATCTACTAAACCTGTATGCTTGGTGAAGAGAACCACCCTTACAGTTAAGAAAAAATTTAATTAGTCACTAAAACACACATCTCTCAACATTCTAACATATTTGAAATCATTCTTCAGTGTATTATTATTTCAACTGGCAATATTTTTCCTCTTGCTATAGATAAAATGGTTAAGTGTTGCCAAATCAATTCTGACTCATAGCGACCCTGTATAGGGCTTCCAAGGAGCAGCTGGTGTACTTGAACTGCCGACCTTGCAGATCAAACTGAGTTTGTAGTCCAGCACATTAACCACAGTGCCAGTAAAATGTGATAACTACACTATTTAGTTAGACTTAAAGGCTGAATGAATGAGAAATAAATGATACAGGGAAATGAAAATAGTTGTGGTATTTCTATGAAAAAGTAGGGCTAGAGCAGAAATTCTAATATGGTCTCAAGGTTTAGTAAATTAATTTTATCATGTAAATGTTGTTGTTGTGTGATGTAAAGTTGGTTCTGACTCACAGTGACAGTGTATATATAGGGTTTCCTCAGGCTATTTTACAGAAGCAGGCAGTCTCATCCTTCTCCTACAGTGTAGCTGGTGTACTTGAATACCAACCTTGTGATTTGCAGTCTAGTGCTTATCCTACAGAGCCACTGGGGTCCCATACTCTTTTCCAGTCACGGATATTATAATCTTGTTAGGTTTATCTATTTTAAATATGAGCATTATAAATCTAAACCCATCAAACACATTAGAAGAAAAATGCTTTCTTATATCTAGAAAAATAAAACATACATAACAATTCCATAAAAAAACCTACATTAACATTTTAGTCTATTTAGTGGTTTATCGCTCTGGTTTGATGACTTTGGGATTAGCTGCAGTTTGTAAACCACACCTCCTTCCAGCATTCTGGATATATGCATTTACAAACAACTAATACTTTTGCAAAAAGCAACAACAACAACAAATAAATTTGTAAATTTAAAGCCCCAAAATTAAATCTAGCCAAATGAAGACAGGCAAAATTCTACCTTCAAACTTCTCCATAACACCGATTCTCTGTGATGGGACCACCAGAGGTCAAATCCTATATATACCCAGTTGACCACAAGGCTCAACCCGAAAAGCACAAATTGGAATTGGATATGGAATAGTAAGTTGAACTCATTTTGTTATATGCATGGAATTATGAAACTCTAAGTACCAGTCTGTGTGGCACTATAGGATAAGCACTGGACTGTGCAAAGTCGATTTGACCCGTAAGTTCAGCAGTTCAGACTCACCAGTTGTTCCTCATAACTACATACAGGTTTACTATGAGTCAAGACCAATTGAATTAAGCTCTTTATCTCTTTGCAAATAGGTAAAAACCAATATAAAGGTCTACTGGTGCAGGGAACACATTTCTAGCAGTACCGTTCTAGAACACTCTCAGTCCAGAAAATTGTCATCAAAGTGGTGGTGGTAGTGGTGGTGGCTGTGTGCTATGGAGTCAGTTCCGACTCATAGCGACCCTGTACTAAAATAGTTATGGAAAGTAAATATCAACCTAGAATTATGCGGTTGTTGCTGTTAAGTGCCTTCGAGTCAGTTTCAACTCATAGTGACTCTGTATAGGTTTTCTAAGGAGCAGCTTGTAGGGTTGAATGACCAACATTGCAGTTAGCAGTCCAGTGCCTATTGTACAGTACCACATGCAGCTAAATCTTTTACACCCAAACTCTGATACAGATTAATCAGTTCTTCATTGAAATAACTACTAATGTAAGTAACTGAACCCTGAAGGAGGTAGTAGAAGTAGTATGTTGTTGTTGTTAAATGCCTTTGAGTCAATTCTAACTCACGGCAACCCTGCAATAGGGTTTCCAAGAAGCAGCTGGTGGGTTTGAACTGCCAACCTTTGACTCGCAGTCCAGTGCTTATCCTACAGTGCTACACCAGGGGTCCAGAAGTAATAAAGTTCAAACTGGATGCCAACCTGATTTCAGAATCTAGATCTCTGCTAAGGAACTTGGGTCTTGTATTTTCAGATGAATAATAACGCCCAGGAAAAACTTGATCACCATCAGCAGTAAATGCTTCTCTACAATTCTTAGGTGGCTTTTGGGACTGCATTACTGTACGAGCTTCACTGTTGTTCTAAAGGAACAGAGGAAAAATACATTTTAAAAATTATGTCAAAACATTCCAGATATA